ACAGTTTCACGATAAGTGGAAGGCAGCGCCGGGCAAGTTACGCCACCTTTAGCGGATGGATTGTAGATGCTTAGACTAACGTGTCTGCTGGCTCTGTTGTTCAAGCTTTTGCAAAAGCCGGCATTATTTCTGAGGAGCTGCGCTGCACGGAAAGTGACTGACAGCGAAGAAGGGGAAACTGGCATGTCTGATTTAGTGCAGCTGTTTAATTCAGAAACAGAGGATGATGACTTTGATGGGTTTGATTAATACTTTGTAATAAATACATGAATAAAGCATACTCATACTCAGTTTTGCTCCCGCTCTATTTTTCTACCTGAAAACTTAATTCAACAGCAGCCTGTGGGCGCGTCTCCTCCTCTTCACCGCGGAGGCTGGCAGGTGTTTTTTCATCTAAATAATCTAAATCTTGCAGCTATATTTGCTGTGATCAGTGGGAATAAAGTAGTTTTAATATGTTTTTAAGTGAGAAAGGCCACCTGAAAACTTCATAATTGCAGTCAGTTCATCCAGATTATCTATTTCTGTCGGAGGCGCTCAGACCCCCACATACCAGCGGTACACCGACAGTAGAAATCCTTTCGTTCACCTTGGCGGCTGGCAGGTGTTTTTCATCTAAATAATTTTAACTGCAGGCACCGGGATGCCGGTAATAAAAGCGAACATATTCTGTCGGCAGGTTTCAGGATTTTAAGTTAATTTAGGAGTGATCACAGCGCTGTGTCATCTGCGATGTGTCTGTCTCACGGCCAGCACGCAGGTTTGATTAATACTTTTTAATAAATACATGAATAAAGCACAGTCATACTCAGTTTTGCCCCCGCTGTATTTTTAAATACGCAGTAGAGGTATTTAAAGGTAGTAGAGGACATGTACCGGTATATAAAAAACGCGCCCTATAGTCCGGTGCGCCTTATGTGTGTGTTAAATACAGAAATGGGACACATAACTGAGACTGCGCCTTTTAGTACGGTGCGCCTTATGGTCGTGAAAATACGGTATATTGGACAATAAACGCCTGATAAGCCCTAATGAACGATCCAGATACGCTCAGAGAAATACAACATCAGTCAATATCAGTAGTATTAATTTCAGAAATTAATATTGGCCCTGGTTTTTATATCAGTGCATTGCTGAAATTTGAACTTATAATTGTAGAATAGGACATTGTTCAGAAACGGCTAGAAAACATTTTCACAACTCGCACATTTGTAAAATATCCAGTCTAGAATAATCGCTCTACAACCGCCTTGTTTGGACATTCCCACTAATTGGATCCCATCAGCTCGCTCACATGATCACGTTCACCTGCTTTAATTAGTAACGGCCACTAGGGGGCAGCCAATGAGCCACAGGAGGTTAAAATAAATTGAAAATCTTCTTTCCAATCTTCCATGCCTGCTTTGTAAACTCTGTGACCTTTTTATATGCTTGTTGCAATTTGGTTTCTGCTGCAGCTCTACTCCGTCCAACCAAGTGCACATCTGCTCTTTAGAGCAGAGGTGTTCAACAGGGGGTCCGCGACCGCTAGGGGGCCAAGAAAAGTTCTGCATTGGGGTCGCGAATGTTTTGGTTGATTAGACTTTTTTTTTTTTTTTTATATTCCCCCTGCAAGTTTTTCCACTTATTGAAATGTCTTTAAATACACATTATTTTAACAGTAGTAAACAGATAAATGGAGGCAGAAAATGTCTTTCAGTCATCAATGCACACATTCAGCGACACACAGGAGCTCCTTCAAGCTGGGCACCGTTTCATTCACAACACCTGTCCCATCAACGAGGAATCAGAATCAGAAATATTAATAATAATCGCAGGGAGAAATGACTTTCAGTACATGGCTCCATCTATAATAGAGTGACTATAGGACTAGTTTGATATAACACAATTTCATACAATATATATATATATAATTAGGGGGTCCCTGCTCCATCTAGCCTACAGTTTAGGGGTCCTTGGCCTGGAAACCGTTTAAGACCCCTGATCCAGAGTATTGACACTCAAATACTATCGATTTTTGGATATTTCTCACATTAAAAGAACTACACAACAGAAAACCTTAAAAAATTGTCAACTGGTCTTATGTTTGGTTTATTAAATCTGCATTTATCTGAACTATCACCTTTGATCCTGTTGAGAAAGCATCTTTGGTTTAAAATGTAAGGCAAGGTGAGCTTTTGCAAGTGCAATAATCCAAGTCAACGACTGTGTAGCCTGTTTAATTTTCACTTATTTATATGGTCAGTACAGTTCTGCACTGCAAGTGCAATAACTACTATCTAGTTTTACCGCAGCTCTCTACTGTGCAGATATTTTTACATATATATATATATATATATTTATAAGAGAAACATATTCCAGGACACACAACCTTTTTCTTTTTATGCTTTTTTGTACTATACACACTCTTTTTATATCGTCTGTCGTATTTTTATCTTTAATGGCATCTTGCTTTAACACTTTGTACTCTATATAAGCTACTGGAAGCAGAATTTCCCTGAAAGAGTAATCTCAAGGGATAAAGAAAGTTGAGTCTAAGTCTTTTCATGCTGATGAAAAAATGTTTTGTGATTTTTTTTCCCCCCCATAGTACTGGAAAGTTATAAATCGAATATCTTCTTTGGGATCAATCCAGTAGTATAGTGAAAACTCTAATTATGACGATTTAGTGAAACTCAGCAGAGCGCCTTTAAAAATAAGAGATCAATCCCTGCCTGATTCCGACCTGTGCTGTGTGAATAACAGTCATCATTTCTATCATGTTAGTAAAAAACAGACATATTTGTTATATTATTCTAAACCAGAACAAATAAACCATTCAAATAAAACAAAAGTTAAAGATTAAAATCTATGTTTCTTATGTTAAAGGCTCTGTGTATGCTCTATCTTTCCGGTTCTTTTCCCTGAAAAGAGATCACTCGGGACAAACTCTTTAAATAACCCTTCATAACTTATATGTATTAAATAACCAGGAGACATGACAACAGATTATAATCCTACCCAGATTACAGAAATTGCTTAGAATATACAGAAGGCAGCTGCTCACCTCTCAGGAAGTGGCCCTGATTAACAGTTAAAAAAGGCCTTTTATACATCTCCAATCTGCCACATCATTACATCACACACGTTAGCAGTTGAGTATGCATCCATGGCTCCAGCCTTATCAAAATAGGACACTGCTCTCATTCCATTTCCAAATCTTTGCCACATACAAAATGAAGATTATAACTGTATATCCAGACAGATGAACTGTCTGAATTAGATTAAAACATCAGTTCTGGCATGCAACAGGCAGCCAATACCAAGGTGTAAGAAACACATCTTCAATGATAATTATCCTAACACTTATGTGTGCCATAGAAATGTGGAGACCTACGCCTGAATGTGGCAAAGTGTGAGCTACATCATCAGGCCTGATTTTGAAGGCTTTAAAAGAAATAAATAAATAATAGAGACAAATTCTGCTTGGGTTTCTTCAGGTTTGATCATGAAGCAGCTTCCTCTCCTTAGTGGCGGCCTAGTGGCATAGAGCTCGGAATCCTCAGGTTCTTAGTTTGAGCCCCACTCCCACAGACTGCCACTCTGGGTCCCTGAGCAAGACCCTTAATCCCTGATTGGCAGCAGCCCACTGCTCCCCGATGGGATGGGTTAAATGCAGGCAGTAACCAATGTACACTGAGGGGTGGCCGAAAGCGGATCGGCACCAGAACCTTAGGGTCAATCTATACTGATCCAACAGGAAAATTAACAACCACAACATCCATATTTTCCAAATAAAAACTATACTTCCAGTCAACCTATACTTTCCTCCAACCTTCGCTAACAAATAAACACATATTTTTAAAACATCCATCCTTCCTAGGTATAAGCCATAGTGGATAAAGTTCTTTCAGGTTTGATTTCTGGGGCGAACATCTTTTCCATTGTCATTACTGATTTTGCTGAACATTTTTACAAGTAATAATATCCAAAAAAAAAAAAATGTTTATTTACCAAGTTTTTATTAAAATAGTTATTTATCTATGATTAACTGAAGACCTCTTTACCCTATATAACAAAATTTAGTTCTGAAAAGAGCAGAAATTCTGAACTAATCATCTTTAATGTTAGTATATCAATGTGCATAATTAACCACAGTGTTTTTGTTGTCAAATATTTGTTAATGTGTGAAAAAGGCTCTGCAACCATCAAATCTGTCTCTGTGTGTGACCACGCCCCTCACGCAGAGGCTCTGCAACTGTCAAATCTGTCTCTGGAGATCCTGGAATATCCTTGTACTTTGCCTCAGACATGTTTTGATTAAATAAACACTCCCACCGGTGCCGCCGAAGTTCTGGTGACCATCCACCGAAGTACAAATTCTCGAATAGGATCCCCCTTGCGCTTTGGTGGGAAACTGCTGTGCGTCCCTAGAAATTCCAGACCGACATTGCAGAAGGATACCAGGAAAACTGGTTCGCGACCAGACGCAAGCGACATTTGATGTGTGGCCATGGCCACCCCTGGCCCCCCATCTAGCTCTGCCCCTGCTTCAGGGAGACCAGACCAGGACTAGATCCAGAACCAATTGGTTCCTCTGAATTACAATTAAAAAAGTTGGATTATTATTATTTTTATCTAAATTAACCCCAAGTCTGCTTCCTGGCCAATGCTCTCCTTAAACTGACTTCCTTTGTTTAAAAAAAGAGGAACCAGGCAGGTGGGCAAACTTTTGACACAAAGAGAGCTTCCCTGCTGGCACCATCAGCTCTGCAGCTTTCTGAAAGCAAAGGGAGAGAAAACTGCAAACTTCCTCCGCATCTACTTCACATTTCACCAGCCTTACAATAAAAACATCTAACTTTTTTACCTGTCTAAGAGGAAACCCCTTTCCTTACCCGGCAAAGCTAGCGGCTAACATAACTTGGCTGCTGTTGGGAAAGCGTGAAGACTTCCAATAATGCGAAACAAACGAAGGAAAAGAGAAAAGCTCCAACATGAGACCAGGAATGAGAGCTAACCTTAGTTGGTTGGAGTGGGAAAAGCGGTGGACTCCTTATCCGGAGCTAGCATTGCTTCCAGCGTAACCTCCACATGTGTAAACTGTGTGTCTACGTGTCTGTCTGTCTGTTGGGTGAGCGGCTCTGCTAACGGAAGCTAACAGTTAGCAGACAGGCGGCTGTAGCGCCCGCAAGGTGTCGCTGTTTCACCGCTGGGTTTTTTTTTTTTTTTTTACTTAATAACACGGTGTTAAGTATGGAGTATGGACCAACTCTGACATAAAAAAAATAAAAAAATACATAAATAAATAAATGCTCAATAAATAAATAAGCATACAATTAATTTCCCCCCAAAATACAAAAAAAACAACAAATAAATGTAGGTAGAATTTAAATTATACAGTGAAACAATTATTTTAATAAGCTTTTTTATTTATTCTCCTTTATAATAATTACCTTATTTATTTATTAGACTATAATGTTATAATGTTCAACTTTATTACTTATTTTTCTAAGTATTTATTTATTTACATGCATGATATAATATTTTTGTCTGTTTTATTCTTCATTTGTATTTTTTTACCCTCTTTATTTCTTCCTTTATTTCTGGCTGTCGTTTTTACATTTCTGTCTGCATTTCTGCCTCATTATGTAAATGAGGAAGGGCTGTGTCTTAGAGGGTCAAACTTGGAATCTCCAAGCTCTATGCCCTAACCACTAGGCTGCCGAATCCATAATTGATCAATTATTCATCTAAAAATAAATATATTAACTTCCAATTTTATTTTTACTTTTCTTCTTGCTTTTATGCTGACTTATTTTTAACCCACTTAATAGGATCTCAATTTTAACACACATAAATCCCTGATTCCTGCATGTTCTTAAATTTTTACCCTTAAATTTCTCCACTGTGAGATCAATAAAGTCAATCAATCAATAGATCAATTAAAATTTTCAGCATTAAATAAATTATTTCAGGTGGACTGATGTCGACTTCCTTTAAGAAAGCATGACTTGTAGCAAATTAATTAATATTTTACAAGTTATATAGTCTTTATAACAGAAATAAAACATGTTCTAACTTTACATTAATTGAATTTCAATTCAATTTTGTTCATTTATATAGCGCCAATTCACAAGACATCATCTCAAGGCACTTTACTCGAATGCAATCCCTCACACTATGGATGATAGTAGCGACAGTGGAGAGGAAAACTCCCTTTTAATAGGAAGAAACCTCCAGCAGAACCAGGCTCCGTGTGAGCGGCCATCTGCCGAGGCCGACTGGGGTTCAAGGAGACAGAAGCAGAGATACAGAAAGCAGCTGTTAGAGGCGGCCCCGTCCAGGAAACACACAGCCAGGCAGACGAGCTCTAAGCCAGCTCACATGTCAGAGTATGAAGACACACATCCAGCCAGTCACAGTCAGAGAAACAGGGCTACACTGGAAAACAGGCTGATCTCAAACATCTATAAACAAAGGTCTTGATGGCAGTAGCACAGCTGATATTTCTCTCCAGGATGGAGTCACAGCCAAACTGGAACAGATGAAGCAAAGCTACTATGAGAAAAAGCAGAGAGCGTAACGTTAGAGATTGAACTAACAGATTCTACAGAGTGGAAGAATAGAGATATAATGAAGCAAAATGATGAAATTGGGGTCCCCATGTCCTCCAGAAGTCTAAGCCTATAGCAGCATAACTATAGAGATAGTTCAGGATAACCTGAGCCCCTCTGCATTTGCTTTACATGTCAGTACATAATAAAAATGATCTTAACATAGCCTACTTGTTTCTGTGTCCATGGTGGTAAAAGTAACACTAAAGTGTTGCTAATTGGTGAGTGCATTACGCCTATCAAAGTGTGTGAAACATTTATTGCCCTTTGGTCTGGAAAAAAAAAAATTGGAATACTTCATAATTTGAAAACCACCCAATAAAAAGACGTCTTTCAAGTAGAGGCAAAGAAGACTGTTGCCCATATTGTAAAGCCAATTGGAACTCAAATAGAAAAGAAAAATAAATAAAAAAATCACACTCATTTAACAAGACGTTAAAATTCACTTAACAGAAAAAAATTACCATTAAGAGAAGCTGTTTTTTTTTTTTAAGTATTCGCTTCCAAATCGTCTCAGTTTGGAGTCTTTCTGCGTGGATTTTCTATTTGGCTTGGTTTCCAGGTTTTCATGTCAAATGTATCCATCTACATTGTCCTCAGGTCTGTGAGCATGTGTGCAATCTTGCTGGTTCTGTGATGGACTTGTACACGGTGTTCCCTGCCTCCCTCCCTCCAAGGAAGGCCATAGATACAAACCCTCCACTGATCATTAAAATGGATTAAATAACCTAGAAACAATCAGGACATAAACCTGTCTTTTATGATTTGCTGGAACTTCAGATTTTTGTAGTTACTGCAAACTTCTAATGAACTGAAGCAATGTTGTTCAGAGAAACTGTGGAATCACTGTTGTTGGGTCACAGGTTCCTACTTCTTTAAAACATAAATTAGCATAAAATTAAGGAAATCTGTAAATAGAAATATGAAAACAATTCAATCCAAAAGGAAACCTTGAAAAACATTTTAATCAAAAGGTTTTTCAGAGCAACTTTGCTGTTTTCACTGATTTTTTTTTCCTAAAAATAAATTGCAATTTTGAATTTTCAGTATTTTTAATTTTATCTTTTCAGATTCAGTTTGAAAATGACATACTTTTCAAATTGTGATTTACCGATCACATTGTCTCACACAGAGTCGTTCTAGACCACTGAAAATGTTGCAAGCGTCCAGCAGACTTCAGAGGAAATCCCACCCCCAGAAGTCAGGGAGAATGTGATCTGGAAAACTCAATAAAAAAATAAAAAATAAAAAAAAAAGATGCAATTCTCAATCTTAAAACCACAAAGTTGGGAGAATTAAAATCTGATTTTATTTTTTTAAAGAATGAAAAAGAAAGCTAAGTTACTCTCAAAACCCATTTTTTATTCCAATATTTTTCAAAGTTTCATTCCTAGAATTCATTATTTTTATATATTTCATTTACATAACATGATCCTTACAATAATAATGTAACAATATGAAAATGTGTTTAATGTTTGAGGTTTTGTTTAGTTTGCATCCAATTGTAGAACTTATAAAAGACCAGTTCATTTGTTTGACCATTTGCCGATATCTAAAACCCTGCAGCTAAAAAAACAGTTTCTTTATTATTTCAACAGCTACAGCTAACGTGGCTAATTACACCATAGATGCATTGCTTCTGATTAATTAATTCAACTGGATGTTGGATTAATGTGGGACCCTGTGTGGATAGAGGCAAGTTTTCGGTTAACTCTTCATGCTAAACATTGAACAATAACTGGGAGAGATTTAAAAGATGGAAGTTTAGAACAGGAAGAGCTCCGGCTGTAACACAATAAATGGTTCCAGAAATTAAGAGCGAGTCGATGAATAGAAAATTTGTCATTTAATGCAACATAATTGTGACTGAATTACAGTTAATCTCATGGAAATAAATCACCAAACTGACAGACAGGCCGTTTCATACAGGAATATATTACAGTGTGCCTTGTTATATAATACAGTCAGGTTGTTTTCTTTTTTAATAAAAAATAAGCACTGGAGGAGAAAGTGATGCTTTTTTTTTTTCGATTTTATTGTAAATTGGACATTATGCACATTATTTAGCGACTCATGTCTTGTTAATGAAGCTTTTTTTTAAGTGGTCCGAACTCCCTGCGCTGAGTGAGAGTTCAGACAATTTCAAGTCAAAAAAAAAAAAAAAAAGGCTAGGACTGAAGAGTTGAGACGGTGAGGAAAGTACCAGAATGAGGAGGGGGGGGGACAAGAACACTGTTAAAGTTGACTGTGCTACAGATAAACACAAAAGCTTTTATTGGTTCGATGTCATTGACTGCATGGAGCATTAACAGTGGAGTGAAGGGACTCATTCGTTTTAGTCGTAAATATCTGGACTCTTTTATAATAAACAAAAAAACATTCTCCCAAAAAATGACTTTTTTTTTTAAACCACATCTGCAAAATCAATCTGCTGCTCATAAGGTCAAAATAAAGGTGTGGCCTCACTCACAAATATTGCACGAGTGGTAACGAACTATAAGGTGGGTTTTGCTCTTTTTCCTATGTCTTCCAATGTTTCCTCTACTTTTCGTTTTGTTTTTTTAAACCATTGATCCAATCAACAGAGGAGCTCACGGTGCAGAAAAGAAAGGTAGCCGTGTAACGACCTGTGAGGCCAAACCCTTCTTTGCTCCTGTATTCTCTAATTCTTGTACAAAGACAATACAACTATCCAGTCATGCAACATTGTTTGGGAGGGGGTGAGGGGTCAGGGAGGGGATCTGTCTTAATTCCTCTGATGTTTTTTTGTTTTCTTTTTCTTAAGCATTTTGCATCTCCTTGCCAATCTTGTAGCTCAGGATCTTGTTCCAATCGATCTTGGTGCGTGTCACAGGAAGTTGGCGGCGTAAGGCTTTGAAGGTAGTGTCCGACATGGTCTGGTAATTCTCATTAATGGCCGTCTGAGGAAGACAAAAGAAAAAAGGAAGATGAAAATTATGAGGGTTTTTTTTTTTTTCCTAATCAAAACTTTTTCTTTTCAACCATTGGATAAATCATCACATCGTCTGCATAAGTATATTCTTCAATTTTGAAACGCCTGAAAAAAACTGAAATTAAATCAGCTGCTGTTCTTTAACCCTCTGGAGGGTCTAGCCAGCCTTATAAAACTGTTGTAAAGGCAAACAGTAGTCTTATAGAGAGTCCCTCAGATGGGACAGTTAATGAATTGAAGTCTAATTTCCTTTACTAAATGATGCACTAGGACATTGGGTCACTTTCTGAACTACTGTTGATTTACCTTCAGTCTTAGTTCGGTTTAAGAAACACAGATTAAACCAAATTATTTGCTACATGTTTCAAGAAAACATGGACTGTTGGAGTGAAAAGATCAGTTGATGTGGATTACAGTGCTTAACATGGTTTAAATAAATCTAAATGATGCTTCCCTCTGGTTGATTCAGTTAATCAACACTAAGATGGCTGCAGAGGGCAGTATAGAGCCACTTCCTGTATGTGGCTCAAACAGAAGCAATGGCCAAATGTAGAGGTGGACAATAAAAAAAAAAGTTAATCAAGTTTTATTCTTTTATTCTTATACATTTTTCTAAGGTCCACTTTTGTATGACCATTTTTGTTCTATATCTTTTAGCTGCTCTAAACACCAGAATTTCACCATTGTGGGACAAAAAAGGGATTTTCTATTCTATTAATAATTATGCTGAAAACATTTCCTCATAAGATAAAAAACCTTACCGAAAAATACTGAAATGCTCCCCCTTTTAGCCGATTTTAAGAGCTTTAAGGGAGATAAATACATTTGTACATTTGATATTCTAAGACGTACAAAAGTATATTCTGATTGAAAATTAAAAATGCATTAGGTCAGTACAATTTAAAATCAGCATTTTATGGATTTTCATTTATCAAGAATGGTGTCGAAAGGTGATGTTAAAAGGAGTGTGTACTCCAACTAGTATGTCAAAATATTTGACAAGCAAATTAAGTTAATTTTTAATAATAAATGATTTAAAGAAAATCGAAATAGTCAATTGAAATATAATTGATACATAAGATAACCTCTAATCATTAGCTGCAGCCACAATAGAGAGAACTGTTAATAATATTCCCTGATAACACCCCAAGCTACAGATCTGTCTGTATTCACCACAATAACAGACAACATTTAACTTCCAGCCTGAACCAACAGCTGAGGCTCCTGCTAAAATAAAAAATGTTTTATCTAAAAAGCTCTCACCCTGTAGAGTTTCTCCCATGAGACCTGTTAGCCCTCATGTTGCATTCACTGATCAGAGAAACCCACATAATGTGATTTCAGATTATTAAAACCACCTACCTGATAGTCACTCTCTGCAGCTTTTATGATCTTAACAAACTCCTGAGCAGTTGAAGCCTCATTCTAGAGGATGAAAGACAACAATCATTTAGACTGACGTTCCAAAGCAAACTTACATGAGCACCATTCATTAGGTCTTCATTAATAAAGTGAACTTTTTGAAGTTCTACTCACAGAAACCGACATGGACTCCTGAACCTCCTTGTGGCTCACCAGCTGAACGTTCCCATCCTCATAGTAATGAACCTACACAGATAGAAGCATGAAGGTTGTCATTTTGGGCCTTTTAGTTCCAGGTACTTTTTTTCTTTTTGCCAACTCGAAATAAACGTTGGCATGAGAAGTAAAGTGTGTGGCAAGGCAAGGCAAACACAATTCAGTACAAGGACAATTCAAAGTGCTTTACATGATTAAACAATAATAGAGGAAAAATAAAAGCAAATGAAGATTAAAAACGTGATAAAAGCAGCTAGTAAAACAGACAAAACAGTTGGAACACAACCTTAAATGAAAAAATTTATTCTATAAAAAATATTAAAAAAATGTATCTGAAAAAAAATGTGTGTGTGTGTGTGTGTGTGTGTGTTGAATAAAATAATTGTTGAATAGTTTGTTACATATCCAAACAAAAGGGAGTGCTGAAAAGATTAGTCGAAATCAATTATGGTAAAAAAAAAAAATGTGTATAGCATGGTTTAAATAAATCTATTGTTTAATTATTTGTTGATAAGAAATATAAGCAATTAGTTTGTCCAAGGGGGGATGAGAACAGTTACTCTCTAAACATTATTTTGTTTTTGAAGTTTTTCAAAGTTTAAAGTTCTTCACATTCCCATCTAGAAAATCATGTTAATTGCAACAATAATGGCACAAAATTCACTCCGTAAAAACAAAGGAACACGTTTCACAGCTTCTAGTTAATGCAGATCTGTCTGACTGGACACAATATCTGAAGGTTATTCTCAGCTTTGTTTATTATACATCATGAAAAGCTTCAAAAAAGGAAAAAAATTTAATTGGAGACTTTTTACATGTCATGGGGGAACTGAAAGACTAGACGTTTATTTCTTATTTAACCAAAAAAAAAAAAAAAAGAAGAACAGATCATCACAGCGCAGCAAAAGATTCACATCTACCTACAAAAAGAAAGACCAAATCAAATACCTGGATTTTCATGATTCCTGCCACTTGAGTGGTTGAGGGAGAGATGGTGAATTTCCACTCTGACCTCCAGCGTCCATTCCTGCACAAACAAAGAACAACAGACTGTAATCACCACAGCCACACATTAGAAAACTTCCTGCATATGAAGGGAAATTGTCCCTTTATCTTTGCAAACAGAACAAACTGTGAAAAACATTAAAAGGGAAAAAATAGTTTTCTCAGATCTTATTTTATTTTTCCCAGGTTTAGTTTTCATATCTTATTTTTTAACACTTTTGTTTTTATTTATTTAATTTTTTACAGATTTTTTTTAAAATGAAAATGTTGCAAACTTCCAACAGACCAATGGAAATGAGTCTCATACAGAAGACCCCGCCCCCAAAGGTGAAGAGAGAGTGATCTGGAAAATGCATTTTGAACTGAATGCATTTCATAAAGCTTAATCTGAAAACTGAAAGAAAAAAAATCTGAGAAAAAGTTCTCATAACCTTTTTTAAAGTTTTTAAAGTTTTGTCCCTGGATAGCTTATTTCCCGCCAACATTTTCATTTAGAAAACTTATCCTTTTCAAAATAACAGAACAAATTCACTCCATACTTGTTTGGTTTTAACACTCAAGCATGACTGGTTTATTTTCAGTCAGGTTCTGGTCATAAAATACTTCCTGCTGCATACTGCAAAGGTTGAAGGCATCCTGGCAGTGTTGGAGTGATCAAAGCAGCCATTTGTTGGATCGCTGACTTCAGCATTTCACAGTAATGCAACAAGTCAAGAGCTAAATATAACCCTGTTAGTCGATATGAGAAGAGCAGCTACCTTTGTTGAGCCTGCTGCTGCCGGTACTGATCCACCAGCAGCTGCGACTCATCGTTTTGCCTGACCTCTGCCAAGAACCAAGCCAACTATTGGGTTTGGGCTCAGTTATACAGCAGCAGTGAAGGTGTATGTTCCAGGTCACCTGGTGCTTTAAAAAAAATGATCCCTGCTGAGTCACCATCAGCTGATCTGGATGCAGCTGGTAGGTTCAGCAACACCGACCAACCGCTCGCTCTATGACTTTTCTGTTCATTATTGGGTGGAAGAACTACAGGTGCTGGTCATAAAATTAGAATATCATGAAAAAGTAGATTGATTTCAGTAATTCCATTTAAAAAGTGAAACTTGTATATTATATTCATACATTACATACAAACTCATATATTTCAGATGTTTATTTTGTTTAATTTTGATGATTACAAATGACAACAAATGAAAATCTCAAATTCATCATATCAGAAAATTAGAATATTACTGAAGACCAATAAAAACAAAGGATTTATAGAAATGTTGGCCAACTGAAAAGTATGAACATGAAAAGTATGAGCATGTACAGCACTCAGTATTTAGTTGGGCCTCCTTTGGCCTGTATTACTGCAGCAATGCGGCGTGGCATGGAGTCGATCAGTCTGTGGCACTGCTCAGGTGTTATGATAGCCCAGGTTGCTCTAATAGTGGCTTTTAGCTCTTCTGAATTGTTGGGTCTGGTGTATTGCATCTTCTTCTTCACAATACCCCATAGATTTTCTATGGGGTTAAGGTCAGGAGAGTTTGCTGGCCAATTAAGAACAGGGATACCATGGTCCTTCAACCAGGTACTGGTAGCTTTGGCACTGTGTGCAGGTGCCAAGTCCTGTTGGAAAATGAAATCTGCATCTCCAAAAAGTCGGTCAGCTGCAGGAAGCATGAAGTGCTCTAAAACTTCCTGGTATGTGGCTGCGTTGACCCTGGACCTCAGAAAACACAATGGACCAACACCAGCAGATGACATGGCACCCCAAACCATCACTGACTGTGGAAACTTTACACTGGACTTCAAGCAACGTGGATGAAGTGCCTCTCTTCTTTTCCTCCAGACTCTGGGACCTTGATTTCCAAAGGAAATGCAAAATTTACTTTCATCAGAGAACATGACTTTGGACCACTCACCAGCAGTCCAGTCCTGTTTCTCTTTAGCCCAGGCAAGACGCTTCTGACGCTGTCTGTGGTTCAAGAGTGGCTTGACACAAGGAATGCGACAGCAGAAACCCATGTCTTTCATACGTCTGTGTGTGGTGGTTCTTGAAGCACTCACTCCAGCTGCAGTCCACTCTTTGTGAATCTCCCCCACATTTTTGAATGGGTTTTGTTTCACAATCCTCTCCAGGGTGCGGTTATCTCTCTTGCTTGTACACTTTTTTCGACCACATCTTTTCCTTCCCTTCGCCTCTCTATTAATGTGCTTGGACACTGAGCTCTGTGAACAGCCAGCCTCTTTAGCGATGACCTTTTGTGTCTTGCCCTCCTTGTGCAAGGTGTCGATGGTCGTCTTTTGGACAACTGTCAAGTCAGCAGTCTTCCCCATGATTGTGTAGCCTATAGAACTAGACTGAAAGACCATTTAAAGGCTTTTGCAGGTGGTTTGAGTTAATTAGCTGATTAGAGTGTGGCACCAGGGGCCATCAATTTTGAACCTTTTCACAATATTCTAATTTTCTGATATGATGAATTTGAGATTTTCATTTGTTGTCATTTGTAATCATCAAAATTAAACAAAATAAACATCTGAAATATATGAGTTTGTATGTAATGTATGAATATAATATACAAGTTTCACTTTTTAAATGGAATTACTGAAATCAATCTACTTTTTCATGATATTCTAATTTTATGACCAGCACCTGTATGTGTAGCTCATGGATTAAAGGCCAGAAGACACAGAATCTGATTTTGCATCCGATCAGACAGAAAATCGTGTTGGGCGAGGTTGTGGCGTCTACCGCTCATTGAAAGTCGTTTGGGATAATCGAACCTAACATGATTTTACACAAGGGGGTTTGCATAGGTCTCACTGAGAGAGACCCTACGTCTATTTTAGACGGACTATGCAGCAATTTAGGAGCAATTTCATGGGTCCGACAGGAAAATAGATGCTGTTACAAAGTAAAACACATCCGCTTTGGGGGAAAATACTAAATTAAATCTGTTAATCGCATGGGGAAGAGTCAATTTTGGAGTTGCACATCGTATATATATTTAAGCCTAGACAAACTCTTGCAAAAACTATAAATGAAACATTAAAAAACAATACTTAACCCAGGAGTTCAGGAGGACAGAAAAGCTAAAGTAGGGACCCTCTTTGAGCCTTGCAAACACAACAAGGGCTAGAAAGAGCAGTTTATCAATCCACATAAAAAAAAAAAACACGTCAAGAGGAGAAAAAAAAAAAAACAGATATAGTAAAAGAGTAATCGTCTCACAGCCTCACAAAAAAGAAAAAATAACGTTACGATAAACTTCCCAGATCTCTCTGAGAATCCCCTCTTTGCCTCAGTCAGCACATAAACTGTCCCACAACATTTATTGCTGTGTTTTTCTTTTCTTTAGGTGTAGATTTCATTATGGTTTTTATATGGGCATATGAACATTCTCTATCAGTTCTGGTTTGAGATGCTGCACAGACTCGTTAAGTGGGGCTTTGCTTTGTAGAATGCACCGCTGTTTTTATTTTTTTAATAACTTTTCATAATCTGTCCAAGTCAAATGTGGGAAATTGTTATAATTTGTGTGGCACAGAGGCGGAAGTGAAAAAAATCTGCGCAGATCATTCCATGTTGCCAAGTCAGAGCCTCTCTACACACTCAGTGTGACATGGGAAAAACTTGGATCAGAGATTAAAAAGTCGTACGCAACCAGTGTGTTCAGACCTCAACAGGCTCATCTGATAGAGATCCTTTATCCACTGGAGATCCAACAGGAAGTAGAAACAGAAATGACAGCTGTGTTTTTATTTAGCTGGCCGGCAGAGCTCCGTCAGCTACTTCAAACATTTACAATGTTTCAGCAAAAACTGTATAAATAACAGATAACCTAAATAGGTTATCCCTACAGCGCCCCCTGCTGCCTAATTACATGTGGGAATCAGTGATTGTATATTTTTGTAGGATCATCTACTACTACGACGAAATCCTCAGAATAAGTGAAATTTGGTTTTGATAAGGGTTGAAACAATCAGGTTAATTGTGATTAATCTAAATTAATTTAAATCAATTTATTGATCGATTAATTGCTCAGAAAATAACTAAAGTGCTTCATGAAAAACACAGATAGTAACATATTTTGTTACAACATAATCTTAGAGCATTTACGCTAATACAGGCCCTTTTATTTAGTTATTTATTTTTGGGTTTTTTTGTTTTTACTTAGCTTATTAACTTATTAATGTTTCGTTTAGCTTTTTACCCTTTTTTCTTGTTCACTTTTTCAACTTGGATAGGCAGACTCCCATAAGGGGTATGCAAGTGATCAAAAAGGTATTTCGCCCTGTAAAGTGTTAATGTACAAATAATTAGTACAGAGTTATCATCACTCTTATCTAATTTACATAAATACTATGATGTTAAAACAGGATCAAAACCTGTGGTAGCACACCAAAGCAGGAATGGGACGGTTGCATTTATCACTGTGATAAAACTGTAACAACAACACAAAAATAAAAAAAATAAAGTAATGGAAACTAGAGGAGAGTAATTCATCACCCTTTTATGAGTAACTTTGTTTTAATTATGCATTTGGCATTAGAGATATAAGTTATTGATTAATGAATTAATCTGAAGTTTATTCATCATATCTTTCGATTAATTTATAAGCTGTGTTTTTTTCTTCTTCTCCTGTATCAAGAGGGTTTTTTCCATAACATGAAGGGATAAATATTCTTTACAACAGTCCGAATTAAAAATCAAAAGTAGTAAATCATTATATTTTAACTGTTCCAGCTGTATTAAATATGGACTGAATGAACAAAAATATTTTTTTCTTACACATTATGAGACTACACATATTTAAGAAATAACAACAGGAACCTTTTAGGTTACTGAATGACAACAGATGAATAAAAATGTGAAACACTGTCATTAATAGATGAGGTCTGTCGCTCTGACATGCTGTTACCACTTTGTTTTAATGAAGTGGATGCTAACTGTGATATAGCTTCGTGTTTTTTTTTTATGGAATCCACTATAGGAATGAGTGACAGCTCCCTCTAGTGAATGATTGTAACATTGCAAGACTGAATATCTATTTCCAAGTGAAATATATCAGTTAGTGGGATGCAACAAACTTTAATATGATAAACTGTTAATTAATCCAAAATTATTTGTTTACATTTCTACTCTACATTTCTGTAAAGGAGCAGAATACAGGCTAACTGAATATATCTAGATGTTAATATTAACAGAATAGAAAGGTTTTTACCCGAAAACTAATACAAAAATAAGTCTATGTATCAAAATATGTACAATTAGCAGATAATGGTACTATTGCAATGAAAAGAATCAGTGTTTGCCTTTGCATATTACGAAGAAAATAATTTAATGAAGTAGATTTAGCTGTGACCCAAATCAAAATCCAACCAAACTTTTAAAACAAGAATATGTATTCAATTTTAACTCCTCTAACTAGTCGCATTCACAGAAGTTCTGGGATCACTACAGAGAGCGACGCCTCAGTCCAATAAAACCCAGGAGCAGAGAGGATTGGCTCAGTTCTTATCCCGTTAGATTAACAGCTCAACTACTCAGCATCAGAAGTCCTTGGACAATTATTGTGTTAGCCTTAAAGGGCCTAAACGCACCTTACATATATTATGCAAAGTCTGATTATTTCCTGAAACCAACATCCTCAGGGTCTAATGTGTCACAGCTTGGGGAAAAAAGTGGCAGCAGCTTCAATCTTCAAACAGATTCAGACGTACCAGAAATTTTTGGGTTGAAACTGATGGCACTCGATGCACACGATGATGGTTTTATGACCGTCGATGGTTTTCCCATAAATCTGAAGGGAGTAGAGAGACAGATTAAGGTGATATATATTGGACGTGTGACGGAGTCTCTACTGTGTGTGAAGGGTCTGTGGAAGGCAGCTGATACGTACGGTGCACACTCCGTTGGGATAGTGCTCCTTGACGTAGGCCCTGACGGCGGAGTCCACAGCGCTCCTCCAGCCTTCCATGGAGCCGTCAACGTCATGCGGACGAGGGTCGCTGGCCTCCTTCCTCAGGTGGTCAAACTTGAAGGAGATCTTATTCTTTGGGTCAAGAACCCGGCCGTTTCCGAGGTCACCATGCTCTGTGATTAAGACCTTAGACACAGAGGAGGCAAAGAGGGAATATTTAAAAATTGATGCCGACTTAAACTTTCCATCTGCCTTCCAGTTCAACGCTTAGCTCAGCCTGCTGGATGTCTGACAGGGGAGTTGGAGTCTGGGAGGAAGGAACACAAGGACATGATGACACCTTTACACAATCCACTGCAATCCTTCCACAACATAGAAACACATCTGACTAACAGACGACAACAACAAACAGCTATGACTGAAGAAACAGCTGATCTTGTTTGATACTTTCATTCTATAGTGTTTCTACAATATAAAGATTTCAATAAAACAAATCTTACTTATGTTAATGAGCTCTGCTTTGTCTATTGGCTTTATGTTTTGTTCATTTCAGTTAGGCTCACAATTATTCATACCACAGGCAGCTAAAGGAGGCTAGGGTTGTTGGGGCCGCCATGTTTTTTCTGACTGGACGTGATAACATATTGGAGCATCGTGACCTAAAACATGATATGGAATCCGGGAGGCCTTATGATTGGAGTAGAGGCGCTGTAAAGCAGGTGTTTTCAAAGGTAAGGTACATTTTTTTCCATTACCGTTGTAAAGAAATTTTTTTCTAAATGGAAATTTTTAGATCTAGTTTTACACATTACATTCCTTTCAAATTACATTTTCCACATCGCATTCTCTTCACGTCTGGGGGCGGGCTTTCCTTCGGACAGACTCATTTCTATTGTTCATTGTTTATACTGGTCTCCAGGTGAAGAGAATTTGAAAAAAAATCTGGAAATCACAATTTGGAAAGTATTAATTTTGTAAAGGTCAATCTGAAAAGGGGAAAATTTAAATAAAAACTGAAACTCTAAAGTCTGTCAGTAAAAATGTGAAGGTAAATTAAAAAAAGAAATAAAATCTGAGAAAAAAAGCAAAGTTGCTTTCAAAACTATGTTGTTTGCAAAAATAATGGAATAAAATCCCCTCCACACAGGGCTGGAATTGAAGACGGATTCTTTATTTGCTCATAGTTCCTGTCCTGCTGGAGGGTCGACCTCTAATCCGACCGGTTCCCTGTCCATCTTAAGGCACATCCCCTCAGCATGACTCTGCCATCACCATCCTTCACAGTGAGCTTGATGTGTCCAGGGTTGTGCTTTCTGTTTATGGTAGTATTGACTATTTCAAACCATCTCAATCGGAATAAATCATCATATTAAAGCTGCTTGAATTAATTTTCTTCTACATTTTCCATGGATAAAGGAAACAGGAGCTCACCTGATCTTCATAGCCCTCAACTTTCACCGGTGTAAACTGGTCCAAGTTGTACTGTGCAAAAGCACTGGAAGAAAAAACAAAAACGGAGTTAAAGATGATAAAGATGTATTTTAGGTTCAAATCGACACCATGAACAGATAAGCAAACTGAAAGCCAGTCAGAGCCACAGGGATCAGCACTAACAATCTGTTGTCAACGTCTTTCAAAGCATAGCTATATAAAGGCAAATAGTTCTTCAGCTGGAGGACCGCTGACAGTGTAATCATTATGGGCCCCTACTCCTTTGATCAACAATTGGCCTAAACTCAGAGACGGGATATTTACTGGAGCGACTCAAGCTTCCCCACGGGTCAGAGCCACTTTAAAAAGGACTAAGAGTATTCAGCAAATGTAGTCAAACGGTTTCTCATCGGGTGTTGTTGACACCGTTTTAGTAATGACAGTAAAAATGAGAGGAGACTTACTGTGCTGCACCCTCCCTGAGAAGATTGTCATTGTTGAGCAGCAATCGCACATCTGAGGAGAAAAATGGAGAGAGGGTGAGTGAGGACAGTAAAAAGCACGAGGGAGAAAAGGTGAAGGCAACGAGTGCAGGTGGATTTCCATCAATGGCTGCCAGAAGCAGACTAACATGCTCAGTGGAAAAGGCTAAAAGATTAACAGGAGATCAAAGTGGGCAGGGTATTTGGGGGGGTATTGCTGTTTGAGCTGTGATCGTAAGCCCCCCTGTCATGCCAAAACACAGACTCTACCCTTAAGCGGTGCCAGCCTGTGTTCTGCAGGATGAAGCATCTGAACCTTGCTGCTCTAAAGCGGGTCGCCGTGGTTCCCAAAGACCCAGAAAGGATTTTTATATTGATTTCTTTTACGGCAACTCCAAAAGATCAAAGAAAGCTCCAGGTTGTTATCTGACAATGGAAAAAAACTCCATGCCTAATGAAACTGCAGAATACTTGGCCACCTGGAGCCATTATACAGATTCCTATGAAATAAAAGCAGAACTAAGAAAAAAAATTAATTAAATAAGGAATCCAGTTACCCGAAAAGATTCTTTGAATTTATGAAGAAAATACCTTTTTACCTTTTTAATCAAATAATTGGTTAAGGAACCAAACAGTGAGTGAAATGCCTAATTTTAGAAGGAATCTACATTTGGAAAGTCACTAAAAAATAAAAAATAAACGTTTTAATAACGGCAAAGCAAATATTACGAACGTCAGCTCAGTTTAAAGCAATGTGATGAAAGTCACCGGGAACTATGGGACATTTGTTTGCACCGGTTCCCAGGTTATATTTTAAATGACAACTGACCATCTGACGACCCCCTTAAAATATCTATTAAATCTATTTAATCAAGAAAGATTTAAAAATAATTATACAGAGGTATATGAACAACAAAAACATCTTATTACATAACAGTTTAGCAGATAAATAAATGCATTTTTATAAACTTTATAGAAATGGATTATTGGATCGCTTTTATCAATAGGTTTTCTTTCCGAGATCCTCTATTCCAATGTTGCCGCAAAAAGCAGCTTCTCTGAATGCTATTTTAATTTCCTCTTCTCATGTTTTGGACGCCCACCCCAGAGCAAAGGCAGCTGCAGACGCTCAGTCTGGCGGACGAACATGGACATGTCTAAGCGGAGAAACCAGCAGAATCAGATGCAGATAACAACCTGCTGCACAACGGCTCTGCTGGAATCCAAACAGGATTAGACCAAAGACACTGTGGGATACCCCAGAAATGTCTTGGAGACCGCTGCTCCAATGTAGCAACCTATAAACAACGTCCCCCTGGTTCTGTAATCTGGGCTACGATGTCTGAAAGCCCGGTAATCTTGAGGAAACTGAGATCTGAAATCTATCAACTATCCGGTTTCCAGTATAACTGTGAGAGCGTAAAAGCACAAAGTGACGAGGTTAGTCCTGCGAGCAGCAACGTGTCGCCGTGTTTGCTTATCTGCAGAAAATCACTGCTGCCTTTCAGAATCAGATTGGAAGAAATGACTTCTGCAGCCTACGGCTTTTAAAAAACGCCTCAGAGTGAAAAGACAGGACAGGGAAGAAGTGATCAGTGAAGTACTGCGATGTTTGACAGGTATATGTTTGCAGCCTCGTACTTTCTAAGTGAATAAGATCTGGAAAAAGCTATTTAAAAAGAATGTGTTTCCTAAAACTCAAACTGAAAGAGAGACAAAAAAATATATATATATAATCTGTTAATTTTTTTTTTTATTAGAGCTAAAAGAAAAATGTTTGAAAAAAATATATCTAAATAGAATACTTTAAATAATATATAAAAGAATATATCTGACAAAACAAAATCTAAGAATCCAGCAAAGCTGTTCTCTTCTTGACTATATATTTTTTTTAGTTTCATTTCTGGATTGCATTTTTTTACTTTTAATTTCCAAATTATAAAACATATTCTTTGCAACAATTGTGCAACAGAATTTACTCCAATATTTAAAAAAAATGACAAAACATGATATTCCTTCCTTCATGTTTGTAGTGGCTGTGATAAGTTCAGCTGACTAAAGCTCAGTGAGGAATTCAGCTCCATGTCCAGCAGTTTTAACCATTTTAATCAGTTTTGACACATTTAACAAAGAAGAGAAAGTCATCATCGTGACAGAGACCTGTAAAAACAATTATCCATATTTCTAAAGGGAAAATATTCACTATACTCACCGTTGAAAACTTCGTTAAACTCTCCTGGCGGAGCATGGATGACAAAGTTAGCTGCTATGCGTACCTGCAAGCAAAAAAAGTTACCAAGAGTTAAGACCAAATCTCTGGTTTCCTCTGGAAAAGTATACATTTTGGTTTGGAAATTTACAGATTATGCAGAATTTATGGTATGTCAGATTTGGACGGTGACTCTTATCTCTTACTAGGGCGGGGCAATTTATTACGTTTGCAGCATAATTGCAATTTAACAAAACGCTATTTTTAAATCGGTATAATATTTGAGGAAGATGCTAAATTTCTCCCTCCAGCCCGATGGGGGAGGGTGAGTTGCAGATTCATGGATGCAGGAAGCATTTAACACTTTTTCCACACAAAGGTTACAGTAAAGTCCTGTAATGATGGACGAGCAAAATCAAAGTGATGAAAAAAAATAAATAAAACCCGGACTGAAAAATTGACATTCTTGTCATCAGTGTAAAGGAAAAGTCAACTAAAATCACAGTGGCAAAATTGGTTTATCAAGATTTTTTTCATACTGGTCCAGTTTAACACATGAAGCAGACTTTCTAATCTTCCATTTTTAAAACCCACTTTTCTGGGCTTTGTGGAGCAACAGAAACAAACGTCTCTTCTGCAGCACTTTGCAGATTTTCTCTGCTTCCCCTACATGGTCTGTGATCAATGTTTTGGCTTGGACAAGATCTTTTACAAAAAGTTACCCCTTATCTTATATTAAAAACTGCTTTGATCTTTCATAAAATCCATATAAAATGCATTAAAGTTTGAAGTTTTTATTTAGGGTTTCAATACTTTGGTGTAGAAAATGGTTGCAAAGATCATGAAGGGACAAATTAATGACTGATAAAATAATTATGAACTGTTAATACTATCAATAAAAAAAATTAAACACTGAAGTAAAAAAAATAAAGATAAATCCTAATTATGGTGATTACTAAAGCTTTAAAAACAAAATAAAAAGAACAAACTAGGTTTAAGAGCATTAAAACCTTATATGTCCATAACTGCGATAAAAGGAACTCAGACGAAATGCTCCAAAATAAAAACACTGTTTAAAATTTCTGATGAAACTTCCCCCCCTTTGAAGCTTCTGTATTGACCCAAAAACAGCGACTGAAAGCTGTGAGCTCATGATGTCTACATGACACGGTGCAGCCAACAGAGGGGGTGCGGTATCAGTGCTGCAGGTTCACAGGGTGGAGTGATACCCTGCAGTCCTGACTACTTCTCTTCTCTTCTGCTGCCCCACGCTTCCTGTTTCCAGGTCACATGTCCAACTGACGGCGGCCCCTCCCTCCATCCCCTGCTTGGTTTACAACCATATAAGGAAATGAACCGTGCTGAGGCCTGTAGAGCGCATGGTTCCCCTGGCTCTGCATCTTTGCCACTCTATCAGTAGCAGGGGACAGCGGAGCAGCCGGGTTCTACTGGTGCAGCTGGTTCCTTTGACACAAAACTTGTTAATGTGTGTGTATGTGTTACAGTTTATATGCTTTAAAGCGAGTTAGTGTGCTTTTCTCATGGGCCTTTATTAACAGTGTGTGTGTACACAGTTGCTCCCACAGAGTTGCAGATTGATTCCTGCTAATGAGCGATGCTAAGAGCAATGAGGCACCAAGGGAGGTCCACATCTGCTCTGTGTGTAATCATTGTGGTCCTAATAATATTACCAGCATCCAATCAAAGAAGAAATCAGGAGTTTCTAATATTGGGTGGATGAAAAAAATGGTGGAAACCTGCAGGCATGTTTGTTTGGGATTATAATCAAATAAGAATAATGGATACGGAATAGCTGTATCTGGGTAGAATACTGATTTGGCAGGAAATGGAGACTAATTCTATTTTTATATGTTACTGTTTAGATTTCTGTATCATTTGCATTAAAATAATAATACTTCAGACCTTAAAAAATAACCCTCTTTGCCCCTAGAAACCATATGGTTACTTCTGGTCACAAAGTATCAAGAAAAACGTAGGCAGATTTTTTTTTTTTCCCCTTTCGAAGAACAAGGTTCCAGTCTTTACTGCACGATATGATAAGTGGCGATAAAAATGTAGATATCCGAGTTTGGAAATGTAGGTCAGAAGCATGAATGAATTTAAGGTTTGCATTTGCTCTTATTTATTAGCCGTTTTATCTGTAAGAAAACAGTTTACAGGTTTTATTACAAGAGTAAATCAACAAACCCTCTGAAACTGTGACACTCCTTACCAGGTGGTGGCAGTAGAGGACCAGAAAGTTGTTTACCAACTCAAAACAGAAATGCAGATTTAACCAAATGCTGCAATGCAGCATTTTAATATCCTGGGCAAATGTATATTGTTGGGTTTTTCTGTTTTTTTTATGTTAGCTGACCAACAATATTCAGCTGCATTACTTCCATCCAGTTATTAGGAGGGGAATGGAGCGGCTTCAACAGGGTTTTGGATTTATTCTCGTAAATTTGAGATGCATTCATGTGATCTGTGAAATTGTATCATCTAAACCAGTTTTATTGCAGATTAAACAGCTAATCTCACTTGTATCTCAGTTGATAAGGGACAAATAAAAATCTGAAATGTGATTACATTCACTGACTTTCATTTAGAAATCCAGACATTTTGCATCCATTTTTATTAACAGTTATCAATCTTTCTGTTCTTGCTCTGTAGCCTTTACCACAGTTATCTTCAGTGGCTTTGGGTGATTCACACATCATTCCATGTTATTTGTAACAGGCAGGGTGAAAAAGTATAGACCAGAAGCCCACTTCTCTCATTAAGCAACAAAAAACAGATTTTTATTTAAAAATTAATGTATAACATGAATGCATAAACACCTCATTTTATTTATTTCAGTGTTAAATTCTGTTTGAAGTAACGGATTATAATTAAAAATGTCTCCGGACCTTAACTGGTTGTTGATTTTCTTTATTCATACCCCGCTGAGTTTTATTTGGTTTCCCCTGGTATAGACAATTTTCCTCACGATATTCCTAAAGAAAATCTGCTGTTACAGATGGTAAAAAAGGAGAGGGATGTGTGAGAACCACTGATGAAATGATCATTTTCCTATTTGCATCACATACTGGAAGCTACTTTATCAATATTTCAAAACTGTTGTTTGGGAGGGAAAAGAGCTTTTGGTTTGTTCTTATGTACTTTAACTGAGACAGAGTCTCTGAAAATATCCAGAAAACAAGTTTTGTGGTACAAGCTCAACTCGCAGTGGTCGGATGAGGAAGAAGGATGAGTAAAAGCTGAAGAATAGCATTTCAACTGTTATGCATGGGGGTGGATGCATCATGCTTTGGGGACAATGGGGGTAGCATGGCAGTATAAAATATATCATGCAACAAAAAACAAAATAATTTTAACATCTTATATGACTTAATGGATTTTTGAAAGTAATTTCTTACAGCAGATGGTCAACTTAGAAACAACAGAGAACTGTAAGATTTATCAAAGTGAAGAAGAATGAAAAATTAATAGTTTTATATTATATTATATAACATCTTTCCTTCAGTGTATGAGAAGTCCAATGTAAATGTCAAATCATCCAGAATATCCAACTCAGTTTGTATAAGAAAAGTTAAACTCTTCAGTTAACTCCTCCGGTTTGCAGGACGTCTGCTAACAGAGTGTAAGATTAGTATGAACTACGTAATGTTGGCTGCACTGCAAGACATTTAAAAAATCCATTATGTTAATAATTAGGTGGTGCTGCGGACGTATGCTAAGCAGAAATGCTTTCTGGGACTGTTATGTTCACATTCAAAGGAAACTGAAGGCTAAATAAATCTCATAAATGAAATGGAATAACAAAGTCATTGATGTCAAAAATACAAAGTGTTTTAATATTTAGAAAAGCCTAAAAAAAAAAAGCAGCCCTTTCTAAAAGCTCAGATGAAACTCAGAGCAACTATTGCAGAAGTTAAAGGGAAAGAAATAAAAAGGCTTTTTCTATAATAACAGTTAAAAACAAAACATAGGAATGACCTCCCTAAGGAGAGACATGGGAAAATTAGTTGTTTAATTAAGGTTTGTTAAAGCACGGATGCTTCAAAAGATTATAACAACAATATGGTCAATAGCGGGTACTGTATAGCACTTTTCAAGTCAGAGGACTTGAACAAAGAGCTTTAAACTGCATTCAGTCATTCAAGCACATCACACACACTAATGGTGGAAAGTTATGTTGTAGCCACAGCTAACCTGGGGCTCGCTGACAGAAGCCAAGCTGCTGGTCACTGGCACCACCGGGCCCTCTGACCTCCATTAGGTTGCAATCCGGGTGAAGTGTCTTGCTCAAGGACACAATGTCACTGAAAGCTGAACCGAAACTCTCAGGTTGCAGGGCAAACTCCCTCATCTGGCGCCACTGACAATAGAACGACTGGACTCTGTAGTTGGCTTACTTTGCAGATCGGCTGATGAGTTTTGCTATAGCCTTACTTTCTCTGGTGGGTTTTCACAATTTAAAACTCAAACCAAACAGAACCCACTACCAGGAGAACCGATGCAAATACAGGAAACGGGTGCTGTATTCTGAGCTTGCCTTCGGATCAAGCTTGGGATGTGATTATGGAACCACTCCAGAGTTCCTTTAGAAGCCTTCAGAGACCACCACCACAAAAACTGGGGCTGGGTATGGTTTGAAGAATCAATCCAGTGTTTATGGTACACTCTGGCACAATGATGACGGGGTGGGAGCATGTGTTCAGCTGCCTGCAAGCACACTCGGGATGAGTCTGACTTTTTTAAATGCTTTTCTTACATTTATGTGCAAATACGGGGGTAAATGTGTGTAAAAACACGGCATCCACAGCCGTTAAGCTAATTCAACTTCAGGGCATCAACTTGAATTAGGTGTGATTTTGACAACTTTCAGTGTAACCAGTGGTTGCTATTAAATGTGCTGGACAGAACCCTGAGGGAGGGAGTCCAGATGTCAGTCAAATGGCCAATATGCTCATAAAAATATAGAAAAATGCCTAATCTCAGTGTAGCCTGAATAATTTACAGCATAGTGGGTAAAATCGTAAATCTATTTTTAGGAATTTGTTT